GGTAACCAGTGCGAGCTTTATAGTACTAGTGTCTCTGCCATGGAATTTGAGGCCGAGGATGGGTGGTACTTTTCCGTCTACGACGCTGCCTGCTTTGAGACAGAGGGCCAATAGGCCGAGACGTTATTTTATGGAGGCTGTACCTAACTTTGACTGAAATCTTCAGTAGCGTAGGAACTTACTAACATAAATATACAACACGGTCCACGGTCTTATTGTGGGGGTCTTCTAGCAGCTTATAATTTTTCTTTCTATATCTACCACTATTCGCACCGGCCGGTATGCTTACTACGTATATATTTGCGGGGAGAACCGTCTTGAATCTTCAATTACAACATGATCAAGCCGACAAAACGTAGGTAATAAATCTACCAGTATTATTCGATTAGGCTACATGATTCCACACAGCAAAATGTTGAACAGACACTGGATGTCACGTGTAAGCAGTGTTACTTTAAGATTACAACCGAACTGGTAAAACTTCAAAGAGGCAGATTTCAACAGGAGACAAGATGAATATACCAATCTGCATCAATGGACCGAATACATGTAATGTCTGACACAAAACTGTTATTACGATTCTAGTTTAAGCCAGTTTGAACTATAGATCATCTACTAAGGCATGCTGAGGTCATCTTCTCTCGGTATTCACAGATATCTCGCATCAGCCAACGGTGTTGGCAAAAACAATTTTCTCTTCCTAACGACATGTTGTTTGCCCCATAGGTATCTAGAAACGCACTCAAGATGGCAAGCTCCTGTTGTAACGGCGAAGAAAGCAACTCGGCCTGAGCCATATTTCATTCCTTAGGCTAAATGAGTTTCCTTCTTTCCGTCCATTTTGCTGGATTTCGTCTCAGTAGAACATGTTGTGATTGATTCCGCGTACTGCATGTTCACAGACCCTCCGGTTATCTAGCGATCACTTTGTTTTGGGTCTGTTGTATGAGGCATATCATAATTTCGGCCGCTCTTGTCCCCTTCCTAATCGCATGTGGCTGGCGGTGAACGTGTCATTGGTGATCGCCGCACTCGTGCTGGCATCCAAGGCAAGGCCAAAAGCGGCGATGAGACCAGCAAGCCGCTCTTTCTGCCCTGCTCCATCACCATCGCATTTAAGCAATTTGAGAGCCTCCCTCTGCATCGGTAATCCAGTGCCACCGCCAATGGTGCCCACAGGCAGAGAAGGCAGATAGAGACTCATGGTGAGTGCGCCCGTCTTAGGGTCAAGTTCTGAAGTCAGATGGCTCCAGCATGCCTCGGCAGTGCTGGCAGGATCCTGACCAGTGGCAATGAACATGGCGGCAATGATGTTGACTGTGTTGATATTGCTGCCAAACTGACCGTTTCTGATCCCTCCCTCCTTTATGATCTGCTGGGTGGCATAGAGTTCAGAAGTGGTACAGCCCAGCACCTCTCGACAGGCATCAGCGGAGAGTGTTCCCCAAACCAGTGTCTCAACGCCTCGCGCTTTCTTCACGTTGCCCCACGACGGCTTCTTATCAGAAGCCATCTGTCCCTCTATAAGGAATCCCCGGATACT